ACCACTTCACAATGAACGGGTGAAGATGTTGAATGTTTATTTACCTCCCTGGCTGGATGTAATGTAATTTTATTCTCGTTGTGTTGGCACCTACGACTCTCGCGGAGAGATTCTCATGGGCTTACTCTCCTCACACCCCCCTCCTGAACCCCCGGGTACAAACTACCAGCTCGGGCGAGGCACTTCTTGGACGTAGCAAACATCGAGTAGGAACCGTCAGCTTACTTATACTTAGACTGCGGTAATATTGGTGTTAATTTATAAAACGGAGGGGGCTGCTTCGAGTAACCTGATTGTGGAGCCGCCACTGGTTAATGCTCTTCGTTCGCCACTAACAAACGAAGCTGAGCCACGCGCCTGTTGTGTTCCCTTCTCCTGGGTGTCCGACGACGTCATGAACAAATAATAAAATTTATGATTTATGTTCCTGAGCTGCAGAAACACGCGGACCAGCCATCTTGGTAACTTTCTTTCCTAGAACTGACAAAGAGCGCGGATTTTATTGGCTATGGGAAGATAAAATCCTAACTAGGCAATGTTCGATTGTTGTGCAGTATTCATATTCAAGTCCATTTTGCATGTTGCAGTTTTTTTCCGCACGTTGGTATTTACAGAGTACTGAGGCAGTCGCAAGGTTTGTAACACTGCGAAAATGAAGATGGGACTTTTTTTCTTTCGCCTTTTCGCTCTCCTTTGTTTCTCTCATACGATAGATCGATAATGTAACACTCGAAACTTTAATCGAGAACAGGCGTCGTTTTAACATCTTTTCACTTTCACGGACGTCTGAATAGTCGATGAATGTTTGAATAGATCGGTCGGACGTTTCATATTTTGTTTTAAGGCGTCACCCAGTCCACTCCAGGTCGTGATGTGTCGGTAGAGAAGCTTCCTGGAACACGGTCGAGATTCGAAGGTGGTTATCTAGCACAGACCCACGAAAGGATAATCATTGTTTTTTGCAAAAGAAAGCCTGTGGTGTACTTATGACCAAAAGAGTAATTTACAGTTTCATTGTTGGTCTGACTGAAGGCCGACTGCAATTTCTCCAAAAGTCCGCAGTTTCAAAGAAAAAATGACGACGGGTTTCAGTTGTGTTTTGTTTGGCGATAGCTTTGTAGAGGTCGCTGTAACCGGTCTCAGTCCGTACCCAGGCCTGCCAAATGTAAGGCCTTTTCCCGCGTTATGTGCGACACTCTGACCATTTCCTCGAATTATACACGACCAAATTCCCTCCACATTTACTGAAATTGAAGTTTGTAGTAACTATTTTTGTACCGCTGTTTAACATTTCCTTCGGTCAATTAAAGTGTAAACGTGTTTCAATTGAATCCACATTTGTGTGTGCTTTTGGGGGAAAATAGAGGAGCTCAAAATCTTGCAATCAGTAAATAAAAGAAAGTGTGCTTTTTAACTTTTGTATAACAACATTCTCTGTTGTTCCTTACAAGGTTCAGGCCCATTAGACCCTGTCAAGTTGCACAAACTGTTTGAATGATCTCCTTCCCCGATCTTCCCAAAATCTCGCCTTCTTCTAGCTGTAATCTGGCATCCGGTGAACATGATTTTTAACTCCGTATAAATTTCTTATGTCGTGCCTTCAGTGTCCCATTAGTTTCATTATCTTTTCCTCAAATTCCGTCTGACCAAAATTTTTGAAAACTTTGGACGTGTTAACGTAATTCCAACATTTCGTTCGAGTGCATGGAACACGCCACATCTAAATATCAATTCTTTACCACGTATTGTTAACAAGCGTCCCACGTGCACAGAATTACCTCCTCCAGACAAACCGGCTGTACGCTTACCTTCGGTTGTCTTCGGCGAAACTCGTGTTGGGTCCGAACGATCCTCGAGACGGACCGGAATCAGACATGCGCAGTGCTGTCTCCTGAGATGATGCATGCAGTTTCGTGACAATTATGGAGTTGCCAGTAAGACAATTGCCGGCAAATATGCACCACTCGATGGAAGTACGCGATGAAACAAATTGAAATGGCACTCCAAGTTTTAACAACGCAAACCCCACAAATT